CTGTGTTCCAGAGATTCCATCCTCCTTTGGGGAACCCGGACCTATTAGGGTAACCTCACCACCCACTACACCGCTATCCCCAACGGTAGAGGCATTCCCTACCTCCGCACATACTCAGAAGACGGCGTCGAGGATGTAGGTTCCAACTCCAGCCTGGATGCAGAGACCTTATTCAGATTTGCTCCAGTTCCAGTTCCAGAAACACCATCCCCATCACCTCCAGCCATCTCTCCAGTAGCGTTCGTCATCCTTTTGGGATCTCCCACTGAGTTGTCAGGGTCCTCAGGTTGTAGTAATAGGGCCGACCATCATCAGAAAAATGCGTCTCTCCCATTCAGAGTCATCCAGCTCCACCTCCCTTTGCAGAAAGGTATCAGCAGCTTTGATGTAAGGCCTCCAGCTGATTGATCTCTTCTTCTTCTTCAGCTTGGACCACAGCCTCCAACTCCAAAATCTCATCAGGACGCACCTCAGATACGACTGGAGGTTCCTGTGCCATTGCACCCACAGAACCACTTGCAGTCTCTTGTTCAACACCTTTTCCACTACTCAGCTAATCGGAGATCTTGTTTTTTGACTTCTCCAATGTAACCACCTCCCCACTCAACTCAGTCTGAACACATTGCTTAACCATGACCTTTGCAGTAGAGCTCGAAAATGACTGATCCACCACAACTTTCTCAGCAGGGTCCGAGGATGACGCCATCACCCCATTTTTACGCAGAAGTTTCAACAAGGCAACCTCCATTGTGGCCTCCAGTTTTTCCCCCGCGTCCAATGGCCATAGTTCACCTCGACCACCACCAGATCCAGTTGCGTACTCCACATTGGGAGCCTCCACATTGGGAGCTTCGATTCCTCCTCAGACTGCAGCCAGGATGAAGCCATTGCTGCAAGCTACGTTCTAGGGCCCTTAAACCACAAACACGAAAGAAAAGCAGGGAACCTAATTTGGGCTCATAACCGACGGGGACAACCAAGTAAGGGGAAAGGGAACAGAACTCTCACCCCTAAAGGCAGCCCTAATTTTTTCGGAAGAGGTCAGAGGGAAAGGCTTGCCTAAGCACCAAACACCAGACCCCACGGACTTACCCTTTTCTACACAGCCTGCTCCTGTGGCCATGTCATCTTGAGCCACATATACGGGGTTCATTGCCGCTTCCCAACCTCTACAATTTAACCTCCGCACCCTAAGCCCTAAACATCGTCTTTTTTACCTTGCTTTAGGATCATACGAATTCCTTCCAAACCACCGTACGAGCATCGTGTTTGCCAATCGGGGGCTGCGCCCCCCCCCCCCACCCCCCGCTTGTTTTAAGCCGCGCAAGCTTGCTTGAAGACCAAACGAACGGTCTTCCAACCCATCATGCGAGCACCGTGTTTGCAAATGGGGGTGGCTGTGCCCCCTCCCAGCCCCCCTGCTCTTTTTGACCCGTGGTTGCCTTCTTTTTTTGGGGGACTTATCTTTTTAATCCTTAACCCAAATATTCTGCTTTAAGCCGTGCAAGCTTGCCTCAAGAACACACGAATCCTCTTCAAACTCATCATGCGAATACAATTCCACAGGCGAGGTCTCTGCAATATAGTGGTTCACGCTTGTTGAAGCACTGCATGCCTTGACGCATGTAATAAGAGAAAAAACCTCGCAAATATGCAGTTGCATTCATGATGGTCCTTTTTCTAGTAGCCCCCCGACTTCTGAGGGCGGCGCGAACCACACTACAGATGAGTGCGTGCAAGCAACAAGTAGTGCCGGCAACACTGAACATCGCAGGTGGACGAGCGAAAGCACAGCTACGAAAAACAGACTACGGATGCAAGGTCAGCTCAGAGGACAGAAAGATCTCGCATCAAGAGTCGGGCGGAGCTTGACAGACCCAAGCGGAGGCCGAGGGCGCCAGGGAGGAAGCGTGACAGACCCAAGCGGAGGCCGACAATGCATGCGACTAGGGACCCAAGAGGTGGGCGCCGGGCCCTTGGGGGGTGGCACATGCTCAGGCTGGCAATATGCAGTTAAAGTCATTCTTTCTTGAGAATACAAGTTGACACGGCGTAAGGGTCTATGCTTTTCGGGATAGCAGAAGGTGTCTTTGGAAAGCGGACATTCTGCGACATAGAAAGGTGATATAGGCAGGGATAGGGTCTATGCACAGGGGCCTATGGCAAAGCGGCTGGCCCCTATGTATAGGGGGTCTATTCGTCCATACAAGAATCTTCAGGGTCTATGCATAGGGTTCTGACGGTTAGATGGAAAGCCTGCAGCATAGGCACCTATCGAAAACCAATAGGGTCTGTATAGGGGTCTATCGAGGCCGAACCTGTCATTGCAAACGGCTGTCCGCGGCCGCAAGTGGAGCCCGCCCACACAAACCCGAAAAGCCGAAAACCCGAAAAGTCGAAAAGTTGATTGGGGCACAAGCTTAGCGCGAAAAGTCGAAAAGTCGAAAAGTCGAAAATGCGGGAAAAGTACCGAAAAATCCGAAAAGCCGCCAAAAAAAGGAAAAGCCGAAAAGCCGAAAAGTCGAAAAGTTATGAAAATCCCGAAAAGTAGGAAAAGTCGAAAGCATGAATATTTTCGAACAATCCTGAACGTTCCGAGCAGTCTGAAAGTCCCGAAATGTCCAAAAGCCGAAATGTCGAAAGGCGGAAAAGTGGGCAAAGCACATTCTTCTAGAAGTTGTAAGGTGAAGTGCCGGGAACCCAGCATTGTTGTTTATGCGGTTCGGGCGGGGGGGGGGCTTGGGGGGCACGGACTGGATGGACACGCAGTCGTCCTGGAAGCTGAGCTCTAAAAGCATAACCTTCAAGCCTCACCTCGGGAGTCAAGAAGCTTTAGAACTTGTAGATTTCGGGCCGCTGGCCCAGGAAAGGCCTGAGTTTCACTGAGTAGGAATCATAGGGTTTTGGATGTTTGGTTTGTTTTTGAATCTACCTCAAAATTCAGAGTCGTACTTGAAGACACTAAATTTGTGGCAGTTGGCCTTGAAGGTGCTCTGAACAACTAACTCTTTAACCTTGCCCCTGAACACTCTATCTCTTCTTAACGCTCAACCCATATTTTTGATATGATCCTTAACCCTTTTCAACATAACAAGTGTCTAAAGCTCCGAGCCTTGACCCTGAACTCTGAACCTCTCAACACCATAAGCTTTAAACTCTGAAGCGTTTGATCTCTGGGTACGCTACACTAATCCTGGGATGGGATGGTATGAGCTTGTAGCTGCAGGTTAGGGTCTAGAGATAAAGTGCTCTGAACAACTAACTCTGTAACCTTGTCTTTGAATAGTGGAACTCTTCCTAACGCTCAACCCTTAATTTTCTTGCTTCAATAATCTTTCTTGTAAACTCTTAACGTGGACTATTTGAAGCCTGAATGTCTAAACTCCATAGGCTCTAAACTCTGAAGCATTGTTCTTGGAGATCTGGGTTCAAGGCCCTGGGTCTAAAGATAATCGCCAAGTGTCTTCTCCGGATGTATGTAGGCTGGCCAGGCACGTCGTTGAGGCTGTCGCATGTAAGATCCACGCGGCGAAGCCTACGAGGCCTTCTTAAATTCGGAGCGGCTGTAGATTTATGATAGCACTGGTTTAGGATGTGTGTGTGTGTCGTCGGAAGGGCTGAGGGGGATGAGCCCGAAAAGCCCGAAAAGTTGAAAAGTGCAGAAAAATCTCGAAAAGTGCACAAGCCCCGAAAAGTCGAAAAGCCCGAAAAGCCACGAAAAGTCGAAAAGTCCACAAAAGTCCTGAGGGGGATGAGCCCGAAAAGTCCGAAAAGTCGAAAAGTGTAGAAAAATCTTGAAAAATGCACAAGCCCCGAAAAGTCGAAAAGCCCGACAAGCCACGAAAAGTCGAAAAGTCCGAGAAGCCACGAAACGTCGAAAAGTCCCGAAAAGTCCCGGCGAGACCCGAAAAGTCGAAAAATCGACAACTTTTCGACTTTTCGACTTTTCGACTTGTCGATTTTTTAGGGCGTCTCCGCTTATCTGCAAGCGCGGAAGCTTGCGTGCTTAGCGATCCTTGGGGGGCTACTTTTCTGACCTTTCTTCACTTCTGACCTATCTTCACAGAAAACTGCGACGATTCGCTCCTGACCTACCCCTTGCAGGGCCGGAATTCAAGGCCACATAAGGCCAGAGTTTGGGAGCATTAAACCGCCCAAAGCAAAGCGAAGTTCGGCGAACGCGTGACGACGATAAGCACCAAATTTTCGGTAGTTGGAGGCTGCAGCAGAAACTGCGATTCCTCACTGCTTAGATTGCAGGATCAATAGGGTCATTGCCCAAATCATTCTTTCTTGACCTGCCCATCCTTGCGGGGTCGGAACTCAGGGCCACATCAGGCCGGATTTCGGGATTGAAAGCCCGGCCCACGGCGACGACAAATGCACAGAGATTTTGAATTGCATAATGAAGGAAAAGAGGTGAGAAAAGGACCGGAAAAGGACACAAGAGTACAGCAACTTTCCGCCCACCCGCCCACCCACCTCCCTCCCAACCCCCAAAAAATGAACCCAGGAATCATACGATCCCGTGCTTTTATTTCCTGGAAGGGGGTGGGGCCTATTAATCAGATCCGCGAATTACGGTGCAACTCCCTGCGCGCGAAAATCCTCCTCACATCCGCAAAACGTTTCAACCTGCACTTCACTCTCAGCCCGGAACCTTGGCCGCGGTTGTGCCTCCTTGCTCTTCTCGCTCTTCTCGTTCTTCTCCTTCTCCCGCTTCTCCCGCTTGAGCTCCTTTCCTTCAAAGCGAACTGCACGGGACTTCGATGGATAGTTTTTTTGCAAACTCCGGCCTGCAGCGGCTTTCGAAGGGCTGCTGTCCTTGTCTTTGCCCCCGTCTCTGGGCGTTTTGGGCTCTTGCGGAGCCTTTCCGCCTGACCAGCATGGTGCCAGTGACCCCATAAACGTACGCTTTCGGCCTTCTACAACGCTTTGCTTCTTGCTCTGCTAAGAGAGGCTCGGCGGCTCCGGCCCGAAGCAGACCCAAGCAGCTGTTCTCAAAAAAGTTCTCTTGTGGCGCCTCTTTTCGACGTCATTCTTCGCACGGGAACTTCACCGTGCCTAAGGCGGAGAGCAGAAACTCTGGCTGCATGTGGCCCTTGCATGTGCCTTGCATGTGACTTGCACATGCCTGCTCTGAGCCTCTTGGGCTGGGCTAAGATAAAGGAACCTATCCAGCACTGGACGGACCACATTCACGCTCTGAAACATTGACCAAATTCGTGCACTGAAACACGGATTCGCGCACCGCGGATCACCACTGGACACTGGACGGCGGATTCGCGCATGCAGGATTCGCGCATTGAGAAGGCACGCGGAGGACTCGCCTGAAGCCCAAAAAGCGGGGCATTGTAACTCAATCGCGCGTGCTCGGATCGGCAGCGCTCAAATCGGGAATTGTGACTGATTTGCGCGTGCTTGAGTCGCGCTTGAGTCGCCAATTGAATCACGGCCAGTGCTTGAAGCGGACTGAGCTAAGCCCTGTGGCCTCGCGAGGATAAACCACGTGTGGTGCAAAGCTTTTTCCGCCGTGAAGGCTGCATCGGCCTCGGCGCCTCCCGAAAGCCAGACTGAGTTGAAGGAGTTGAATGAAATTGAGTGAAGCAGTTTGCCGAGCAGTTTGCCTGCGAAGCGCGCCATGAGGTCCGAGGCCGGTTTGCTGATAGGTACCCCGAGGCCTCCCTCGCTGTAGACAGTTGTCTGACCCTGCGGCGCAATGGCACACTTGCACGGAGAGAAGCAATGTTACTGACATGCGTCTTGAACTAAGATGTCTTACAGCCGCAGCCTTCTTCACCGCTGGGGCTTCTCTCAGAGAAGCACACTTCATACCAGAGCACCAGCCCAGCAAAGCCTGGGGACAAAGTAAGGGTGCACTTTCATGCCCACTTTCTCAATGGTCAATTCAATTGAATCACACAGAAGTAATAATCATCCAATGACTTGTGACAGTAACAATAACGATGCTAGGTGTTTTATATACCCTACACCCAGAAAGAGACACACTACGGGCTTGCGTTTTGCGGGTTTATGTTTCGTGCAAATATTCTTTTACAATAAACGCGCTGTTTGATTTGTATCATGAGGAATTTGTACGCAGAGCAGACAGACCCCTGTACCAGCTTGGCACGCCAAGGACCTCCGAAGTCCGAGATGAAGCCTACCACAGGCCTCTCTTGAGGGGGGAGGGCAAAACAAAAAGCAAACAAACACTTTTTTGGGCCAGGTTGGTTGTTTTGTCTACTTTATTTCCCCCCGGCACCCCCCCGAGACCTTTTGAAGGTCGATCCAGGCCTGTTGATTGGTAGATCCCTATGCTGCGAAAGGCCTCCTTTTTCACTCATCTTTATCTACCTTGCATCTGAGATACAGACCTCATGTTTGGCACCGATAAGTGTTGATACTTGAAATCAGGGTGCACAACGTTATTTCATGATCCCCCCTTTACATCGAAGTGAGAGTGAAGACGTGGCATGCAGATCATATTATTCAAAAAACCACGTTTTTTTTCAAATCTTGCAGACGACGTATTTACCTGATAGCTAAACTCTGATATAGTTGTTCTGGTATGCAGTTGCTTTGCTTCTGGGTGCTCTTCGCTGCTATAGGCGGTTGTTTTGCTTTGTGGCGCGCGTTGGGTTACTGCATGCGGCTGTTTTGCCCATTAGCACGTCTTCGCTTTCTATATATGCGGTTGTTGTACTTATTAAGCTACATGCGGCATACGGTTGTTTTGCTTCTTGTATCTTCTTGATGCTCTTCGCTACTACATGTAGTTGCCTGGGGTGACGACGAGAGGAGGAGGAGGAGGCGGCGGCCGGGGCAGGTAAAAAAAAACAAGAACGCCACGTGGTGATGTGGGCAAAAACAAAACATGGCAGAATCAACAAGAAAGATCAGAATCATCAGCACTAGCAAACAAACAACACAACAGCATGCGAGTTTAAAATGATACAGAAGCCGAAGGGACGTGAACAACCAAAATAACCAAAGCAACCCCAAAGGCAAATCAAAAATGTCCAAAAAATGTTGCACAGCCCGCAGCGATGCATCTGAGACACCCTCATGACCAAACCTGCGGAAGGGAGGTCATGCGTGCGACGCCCAGCATGTGCTCCGAAGTCGATGAGTTTTGTGACCTCAGCTCAGCATCCCATCACCCAACAGAAATAACAAATGCAGGCAAAAGCACAAACCTGATGTAATTGAATGCAAAGCGGCATTCTGCTCGGGTGGTTGGTCGAAGTGAAGCATGAGAACCTGCATTCCACTACATGGTCCCAACTCCAGCACTGTAATGCACTCACATCCACTGCCAGCTCCACCAGGAAACGTTGGCGGGGCAAATGTCGCCATGGCTCAACGACTGCTTCTGAAGGTAGTTCAAAGCTCCCAGCAGTTGCCACCTCAGGCCACACTGCCGAGGCGCAGTGGCTGTGCAAATCAACGCAGATCGGAACATGCAGTGGATGGCATGTCGGCACGAGGTTGCGACATGATCACCGCGCCGGCAGCCTGCACGCAAAGGGTCTGACAAGAGAGGGAGAGCGAGAGGGATAGCGAGAGCGGAAGCGAAAGCGAGACCGAGACCGCGAGAGAGAGAGAGAGAGAGGCAGAGAGAGGCAGAGAGAGGCAGAGAGAGGCAGAGAGAGGCTGAGAGAGGCAGAGAGAGGCAGAGAGAGGCAGAGAGAGGCAGAGAGGGGCAGAGAGAGGCAGAGAGAGATAACAGAGATGTGACATGTGAAATATGAGATGTGAGATGTGAGATGTGAGACGTGAGATGTGAGACGTGAGATGCGAGATGTGAGACGTTTCGCCGCTTAGCCAATTTCTCGAAGTCGGCCTCTTCAAGTGGTGGCCAAAAGTCCCGTGCATAGCTGGGCAAAGCCCCACCTGCTCGTCACAACACGATTCTTGTCAGATTCGTGCGTCTCCTTTCACTGCTTAGACGTTCAAAGCATGTCACTGCGCCGAACTGCCAGGCCTTTGCAAAGTTCCATGGCCAAGTGTAGCTCACCTTGGGTTTCCTGGGCGCGGCATTACGGTTATGACTGGACGAACACTGAACTTTGGCAGCGATGTGTCAAGCCAAAGAAGCCTCCACGAACGTCTCGAAAAGGCGGACAATGTTCGGATGGTCCAACTTTCTCATCAAGGACACCTCAAATCCTTCCAATCGTTTCAAATCGCCATGGACATGATCGGACCCCCAACTCAGATGTCTCAGATGTCAACTAGCTCAAAGCCGCACCTGAAGGATCGGATTTTTGGCTGGTGATTTTGACCGCCCGGGCAATCTGATTGCGTCGGCAGACCGCCTGAAAAGGGCGCCCGTGACGTGACAAGGATGCGCATGCTTACATACAGAAAACATGTATAACAAATATATGTACATTTACACACACATGGTTTTGATATACATACATGATACATGTGTGTGCGCGCATCCAGTGCTGGTATCAGGTTGAATCCCGAGTCCAGCCTGGACGACACGGCCGACACCTCCACGACCCAAGCCTGCCTGCAACTCATAGGTAGCTTGGACCTTTGACGTCAAAGGATTTAGGACTGTGCGCAGTCGAGGCGAAATAGAAGCTGCAGATGTTTCTTCTGGAGAAGCACTTAGGCATTCGGCTGGTGAGCTTGACCTTGGTGATCACAACAGCCTCCGTGTCCTAATCGCTTGCATGTTCTTTTCTCAGGCCTTTGGACCAAGTCCGCCCTGCAGATCATGAACTAACCTACAGGGGCAACAGCGATCGCACAAACCCACGTGAAGTTGCAAGCCGAACAAGTGTCCAAGCCTCGGCGACGGAGACATCATGAGCCATCACGGCAAACGTTTTGGGGCGATGTCGCCGGTCAAGCTTTTCCCAGGTTGGGGGCAATGTTGGGCAACGTGGGAGAATGGTATTTGGATGTCATTGTTGTCGTTGTTCGGGGGCATGGAACAACCCATTGGCTGACGTAGCTTCTCGCATGTAAAAAGCAGCAAATGAAATTGATGCTTTCAAAACAAGTTGGTGACATTTTCGCCTGATCTTCATGAGCCACCTGCGAGGTGCCCGCGAACCTGTCCGAGCGAGAGGCCTGACGGATTCAAGAGAAGGCCCGCGCCGCCGAAACGCACGATGCTGTTGCTGAGGGATGTTTGATACTATCCTGCGCGCCGATCCCAACTCTGGACTCCACCATGCCTCGGAAGGGGGGCGGCGCCAAGAAAACGACTTGGCAGTTGGCAGCCGCGTTGAGGTGACGACCGCTTTCAACCCATCTCTCGGGCTGAACGAAAAAGAATGTCAGCAAATCTCCGAAACCATCGTTGCCGAACTGATCTGGAGTTCAGCAATTCAGTTGGGTTGAAATGCGGGAAGATAAAAGCAGGGGGCCCAAGCGACAGCCTTTGTATCCAATGAGAGGGGGCATTCGAAGTGCAGCAATGCCCTCGTTCGCGCCATTGAGGTTGGCGTGGGGGTGGCTAATTACTGGTCGGAGTGTTTTTTGTGCAGGCCTCTTTTCCTGCATCCACTTCGCGGACGACGTGGCATGCCCGCCGCACTGAGCGGCGTGACGAGTGTAGTGTCGACGGCCAGTTGAACGCCGCCCCAGAGAGATTACGCCGGTGGCAATGACCTCGATGAGTCTCCATGCGGAGGGATTTTGAGCGCGTTGGCGCGCCGCGCCGTCGCCAGTCAGGCGGCGGCCCCGAGGCGGTGCATGTTTGTCGACAAGTCACGCACGTCGGCGCTGGAACGTCGGGGACACGGCGGGGGAAACGCGGCACGAATGGTTATAGCTCCGCTCTCTTGCTTGCAGCTGCGCAAGCCTTCTGTGCCAGCCTCCTTGCACTCCCTCTAGCGAACATTGGCAACGTCGTTGGAGACATCCCACTTCCCAGTGAGCTAGATTCAGCTAGATGTCTTGGCAGATTGCCCGGCCCCTGCTGCCTGGCTGGAGCTCGGGGAAGGTGCGGAGTTTGCGCGCCTTAGCGTGTTTTGCTGTAGGGTGTTGCTGTTGCTGTTGCTGTTGCTGTTGCTGTTGTTGTTGTTGTTGTTGTTGTTGTTGTTGTTGTTGTTGTTGTTGTTGTTGTTGTTGTTGTTGTTGTTGTTGTTGTGGTTGTGGTTGTGGTTGTGGTTGTGGTTGTGGTTGTGGTTGTGGTTGTGGTTGTGGTTGTGGTTGTGGTTGCTGTTGTTGTTGTGGTTGCTGTTGTTGTTGTTGTTGTTGTTGTTGTTGCTGCTGCTGCTGCTGCTGCTGCTGCTGCTGCTGCTGCTGCTGTTGCTGCTGTTGCTGCTGTTGCTGCTGTTGCTGCTGTTGCTGCTGTTGCTGCTGTTACTGTTGTTGCTGTTGTTGCTGCTGTTGCTGTTGTTGTTGTTCCTGCACTCCTGCATGTTTGCATGGATCATGTACATAATGGTTTCACTCTAGTTCTGTGCGCATCCGTCGCGCTGGATGGGGCTGACCAGCGTCGTATCGAATGCAATTCGAGCACCTCGCCAAAGAGGACGGCCTGGCGACGACCTCGATCCTCCGGCCGTCAGTGGCGGGGACATCCAGGTTGAGTTCCCGCAACGCGACGCGTGTGGCGACCAGAGCTGCGGCGCGCTGAGGGCGGCGCAAGATTTAAGGCCAACCCAAGAAGCAAGGACAACTTGGCAGCGGCTGGACCATGGGGAAAGTACAAAAGCATGGGCTGTGCGAGAACCTTTGCCCGCCGGCGCACATCACAGAACGTGCACCAGCCGCTCAAGAAAACCCTGCAGGAGCAGAACATGGCTAAAGGTTGTGTCTGCCCCGTGTGGCCCATTGACCGGCAGAGAACTTGGTGGCTAACTCAGAATGCATCGGGGTCTTCCGTCCAGCACTCATCCAGCCATGAGGGCCACAGCAGCTAGGCGTGCAGCGGCACTGGAAGCCTCGGCAGCGAGCTCAGCCCGCCTTCGCAGGTCCGCTCGGGCCCGAAAGGTGCCTTGGTTGAGCTCTGCATGAAGGGTTGACTGGTCCGGTCCTTCTCGCCACGTGCGCCAGTACTTTTGCCGCCTTAGGCCCCCACGCACCCATGGTTTCCACAGCCCGGTCCAGCCAGGTGAAGAGAACATTGCGGAGGCTGCGGTGGTGCAGGGTCTGCTCACCGCCCGCAAAGCAAACGCCCGCATGAAGCGAGAACCGGAAAAGCATGACTTTGAATTCCTCGCTTGGCACCTCGAAGTCCGGCCCGGTGGGAGGAACCGCAGCACCGCCCCAGCTCTTTGCCTGCAGGTGGCTAGCCGAGACAACGAAGCCTGCATGCGCTCTTGGCGGATACGTGATGTAGATATCGTCCGGATACAAGCTTTTCGCCCGGACATCCACGTTGGGGACTTGGCCCGCACCAGCTTGTCCGCAGCATGCCCTCGGACCCATGCCGTAGTTTTTTTTTCCACACGCCTTTTTCCGCGGCATGTCTTCGCGGGGGTCGGGGTCGGGAGGGACGCAGTCAGACAGAACTCAAACATAGGTTCCAAGTGGGATGGGCAAAGTTTCGCAAACACCGTCATACAAGAATACAAACAAACATGTGTCCATCGCATTGAGATTGGGTTTTTTCGATACAGTATTGACTCCAACCGTTCTGTTTGGATTACACGTATTGCCGTTGACTCTGTCACAAATTCATGCACTGGATGCATTGCAACGACGAATGTTTCGCTCTGTGGTTGGCTGGGTGCGAGTTGCAAACGAAGATTGGCACAGCACTATGAGTCGGATGAAACACAGACTGACTGCAGCGTTACACATACACCCTGTGGACACCTGGTCTCGCCAGCTTGCACGACGTCAATACAACTTCGCTTTCCAAATGTTGCGAATTCCCAATTCGGCCACGGCTGTTGTCAAATGGTGTCCAGAAAGCAACTGGCAAGCAAATTTTGCTTTACAACTACATCGTTGACCCGGTCGCCCGCTAACGAAGTGGGATGATCGACTCCGCAGTTTTTTTTTTTTTTCCCCGCACCTTTTTCAACCCGCATCGTCATGTCCGTCGGCCTTGTTCACGGCCTCTCCAGGAGCAGGTCCCCCAAGGGGACCTCCGCCCCATCACCTGCATCCCGTGGGTGGACTGGCAGCTCGAGGAGAGTCTGCGCGTGGGCCCGCATGGCTGCGAGCGCTGCCAGGGCCGTCCAACGACGCGTCAAGGCCCGAGCAGTGGCGACCTGCGCCCAAGGGGCCCGCGTTCGGCCGCGGACCCGCGCGAGGCGGCGGAGGAACGCAAGCGTGCTCGTGCTGAAGCGGCCCCCTACCTCAAGGCCGAAGACGACGAGGCGACATCGGCCCCGCCCCCCCAGCTGCAGTTCAGGGTACGTGCGTTGCTTACGCCGGGCAGCCTGTTCCAGCGCGAGCCCTGGCCGCGCGTCTGCGCCGGGCCTCGCCTGCCCGTCGCGTCGGACAGGGCTGACCAACGTGGTGTCCACCGCAATCTGCGCCCCCTGCCACAGAGGCAGGCCGTTGGCCACCACCTCGATCCTCCGGCCATCCGTCGCCTGCGCGTCGAGGTTGAGGTCCCGAAGGGCGACGCTGGTGGCCACCCGTGCTCCGGCCTCACGGCAAATGCGCGCCGCAGCCCGTTCAAGGGGCCCCGCTCTCTGCGCGAGCACCCCGACCTGAGCACACGCAGATCTGTGGTCCCCGAGTTCATCAAGGGCCCCCCCGCAGCGGCAGCGGCGAGGGGCGAGTGGCAACGCCAGGCGCAACCGCCTCAGGAGAAAAATTCGGAACTCCCCATTGTCGACCACGAAGTCTGGGCCGCTCGGGACGACGGTGAACGCGCAGCTCGCACCTTCGCCGCTCTGGGACAGCAGCAGCGCTCGGGATGCAGGATCCAAGTCAGAGAAAAGCATCTCGAACGCGCGCTTGTCCACAGCAGCTCCGGCTCCTTGCTGCCAGCCCCGCCTCGTTGGGGCAGGGGGCCCGTCGTCGTCTCCGAGGTTTGGAGGGGCCATTTCCTCCAACAGCGCTGCCCACGTGGGCGCCTCGTACCCTTGCAGGCGCAGGGTTTGCGCAGCCTGGTCGGCCTCCCTGACACTGGGGGGCACACCGGTTGCCGCAACACTCAACAGGGGCCGCATTAGTGTGGCCAATGTGCCTGGATGGCACTCTTGCAGCGCGGTGACCGTGTCTGCCCATGAGGCCCAATATGCTGCATGCCTGTGCTCCCTGGCAGGCGACAAGCCCAAGCCCCCCATGCGAAGCGGCAGGCGAGCCCGCCTCGCACTATTGGGAGGGAGCTCCAACGGCACATCCCCCCCAGACAACAAGGTCGCCAGGCAGCGCAGGATGGCCTCATCGTGCGACGCCGCGTACGCCTCCGTTGCGCTCGGCGGCACCGCGCGCAGCAAATAGTTGCACCGTGGCGCCGCACAGAACAACAGCAGAAGCCACGCGCTCTGGAGGTCCTGCACTGCCGGCAGCCGCGCGAGAAGGACGTCGTGCTGGCCTCGCTTGTCTTCTAGAAAGCGCGCGACGTACTCTCTACTACCTATGGGAGTCCCCAGCACTACAAGGCCCTGCTCCTCAGGCGGCAAGGTCCAGCTCCCGGTCCAACAGGGTGGGTCGCCCGCGCGGCGGGGCAGCGCAGCCACCAAGCCTGGAGGCTCCTCGCCAGCGGCGTTCCATGCCCTGGTCTTACCGAGATGGACCTGGACGTTGGCGTGCTGGGACAGCGCCTCTTGGGCAGACCGCAGCGCGGGGAGCGTCCT